AAAAAGAGAAACAGGGCTTTAAAACTCTTCTTGCCCATGAGAAGAAAGTAAATTCCAGAGAGGGGAGATGGTTTGTCCAACCCACCATCACTTGTTCAACACCTGATATATCCAGAGTTCTTTACATTATTTACATAAAGCCAGGAGGTAAACATTATTCCCATTTTACAGCTGAGGAAACCGAGCCTCTGGGTGGCTTTTTCAAAACCTGTGAGTTAGAGCATAATTCCAGGTCTCCCTGACTCAGAGCCTGGGCTGCTAACTCCTGAGCTCCCGGCTGGAGCCCAGCCGTGCTCAAGACTGGCATTAACTCCGCGTGGTTTTCTTTACTCTCTCCCAGCCCTCCGTCCCTCCAGCCGCTCCTGGAGTTCTGAACGTTGCCATGATAAATGCTCTAAGTGCCTGCTCCGCTAAGGTGCTTTCTGCTGCAAGTTTTTGGCTTAATTATATGACAGCGCCCATTGTGCTTAGTCGGGGAATCTGATAATCACCATTTTCTCTATCCAAATGTTCTGTTGTCTGCAGCAGCATCTCCGGGGAGGTCCTGTTTGTGCTCAGCTCTCCCTTCCTCCCAGGCCTGCACTGCCCACTCCGGAGCCTGCCTTGGTCACAGCAGTCTGGGCTCGCCAACATGGGCAGAGGTAGAGTGGGAGTGGACCCCGGCTTACCCAGAAAGGCCCTGGCACCCCCCACCCCGTCCAGCCCAGCCTCCCCGCAAGTGCCTGCTCCCATTGGGCCTTCCCTGCCTTTCTGGGACCACTGCCAGACACACGGGGCCTGAGGTCCAGCGGCATCGTGCCCATCCCTGCCACCTTCTGGAGCTGCCCTCTCTCTACACTGTCTCTACACTGTCCCACATCCAAAGCTGGCCCAGGACTTCTGGGCTTTGTCTCTGAATGTACTGCACCCCAAGAGACCCCACGGTCTTGGGCAAACACGAACGAAACAGTTGCTCACCCCATTCACAGAGCAGGGTTTCACTCAGGCCCTAATAGACCTCGTCACTTTCTTCTTCTAATACCTTAGTTTCTTATAAAAGTGCTACTCCTGAAGGTAAAAACCTTGCAGAAATATCTGGTGGAATCTCAAGGACGCCCTATAATCCTGCTCCCCGGAGCCATCAAGTTAATAGTTTGTGATTCTTTCTCTCTGTCCTTTCTCTGCCCCATAGAAGCGGCTACACTGGGTTCCATCATGGGCAGCTACCTCAAGTTGCTCTACAAGTTACTCTGCATCCAGAGTTTTCTCATTCCTTTGTTTGTTTGTTCTTTGAGACAGGGTCTCACTTTATAGTTCAGGCTGACCTTGAATTCATTGTGTAGTTCAGGCTGGCTTTGAACTCAGCATCCTCCTGCCTCAGCCTCCCAGGGGCTAGGATTCCAGGTGTGTGCCACCACGCCCAGCTAATATAGTTCAGGCTGACCTTGAATTCATTGTGTAGTTCAGGCTGGCTTTGAACTCACAGCATCCTCCTGCCTCAGCCTCCCAGGGGCTAGGATTCCAGGTGTGTGCCACCACGCCCAGCTCATATTATCCTAACTTTAATAATAGTTAACATGTGGAGTGCTTACTACACCAGGCACCGACATTATCTCATTTACCTGATCTCACTTAAGTTTTGCAACTCCAGGAAGTGGGAAGGCCATCATTATCCCCATTTTACAAAGGAGGAAACTAAGGCTTGTGTCAAAGATAAACCAAAAGCTCACAAAGCGGTGAGTACCAGACCTGAACCAGAACCGTGGCTCGAGTGCCTCCCCACACTGCTCCAAGTCGTCTGTGGTTGTCAGAGTGGGTGGTGATGGGTCTGAGCCCACTCAGATGCCCTCTTTTCCCGGGATGCACCTGCTGAAGGGTAGAGGCCATAGGAGACACTGTTGACACAAGGTCAGACTGCGAAGCTGGCCTTTCCAGCTTCTGATCCACTTCTTGCTGGAACCCAGAAATTAGGAAAGGCAAAAACCAAGTAGGAAGCAGTGGCATAAGGAGCAGGCTCCTGGGGACAGGGAGGAGGCCTGGCCCTGAAAGCAAATCTAGGAGACTCCTCAGCCCTGTCAGCAGCACTTGAAGGTGTGCACCCATGTCCTCTCCCAAGGGGGAAACTGAGTCGCGGAGTCACTGGCCCAAAGCCCGCCCCTGTGGACACTGTAGGTTTGGACCAGATGGTGGATGTGGAGATAGGCCCAATGGGATGGAAAGAGTTTGGATTTTTGTTAGGTTTTTCTCTCGTAGCAGCACCCTGGACCGAACAGCCCCAGATTTATGCAAATTAATGTAGATATATGTTAATTGGCCCACTACTAGGCACGCAGTTCTAACAATGGAGCTGCCAGCTCAGAAGTGTAGTGAGACAGATCTGCCCAGAAGAAGCCTGCGGAGCCCCCCGACTGGGGAAAGGGTGGGGATGGGTCAGTGGTCACTGAGGTGGGGGGTGAGGTTGCCATGGAGACAGAGGCCAGGCCCCTGCTTCCCAACAGGACCGGGGCTGGCCAGATCGACCTGCTGAGACCGTCCTGGGCCTCCCTCCCAGCTCCAAGTTGGTCTCTGAGGGCTAATTATGTGGAAGGTAGTAACCAGCTGCTCCCTGGCTCCCCCAGGCCCAGCTGAGGTGGAGGGCAGGGCCACAGCAGGAGGGCGTGAGGACCGACAGATGGCATCTGGTCTGGGGCTGGGTAGGAGGACCTTCCTGGAGGAGGGTGGGGGATTAACTCATCCGGAGCGAAAGGCCGCTCCAGCAGGGCCATGAGGGAGATTCCCAAACCCGGGGGCACACAGACTGGCCCATCACCAAGTCCCAGGGTGTGCTGAGGAAGCGCAGCGGCTTGGCTCCATGCAGACCAGCTGGAGGCTTAGCTCTCCTGCTTTCCTGGGCCTCAGTCTCCCATCTGCACGGGCGTGGGATGTGGGTGTGAAGTGTGGCATAACTCAGTGGCAGGGCGCTTGCCTCTCTTCTCACTGTCTGGGCCAGGACTCGGGCCTCGTTGCTTTGTCTTCCTGGTGTCTGCCCAGGAGAGAAGAGGTAGGACGGTCCTCTCCAGGACAGGAGCTGGGTCTACTGTCCTCACCAAAGAGTTCTCAGGATGAGCCACACGAAAGGCACTGGAGAAATATCTGAAGAAAGAAGGAACCCCCAGGTGTTAATGCTCAGAAGATGCTCTGGCTGGAAGTGGAAATGAATACGTTTTGGGGCTCCGTGACTCACCCGTTGGTCCAGAGCAGGCTCTGAGCCCTCTCAGCCCTGAAGGACCTCCTTCCCTGATGGGGCTGAGCAAAGCAGGTGCGCCGAGACGGGCAGGTTCCCAGCCCTGCTGCATCCACCGTGACTGTGGGGAGAGAGCGCCCTCCGCTGGCAGCGCCTGGAGGAGGGGAAGGGGTGCAGCTGGACATCATCCTCAGGCTGCAGGAAGCTGGACTGAGGATCCCAGGCAGAACTGGGACAGGTGGCACCCGGGGAGAAAAACACCCTCAGCAGAGGTCACCCGGCCCCCGAGGCCAGTCTGCACAGGAAGGAAGGCTGCAGCAGCGCAGGCCTGGACAGAGATTGGGAACCACAGAAGCCTCCTGTGCAGATGAGACACAGTGAGGCCCAAAGAGCAGAGCTTGCTCAAGGTCGCACAGCCCAGTCTGCTCTCAAGGACGAGGAGGTGTCAGAGTATCCAGATGCTCTAATACTCCTCCTCTTCTTCCTTTCTGTTTGTTGTTGTTGTTGTTGTTTTTTGAGACAGGGTCTCACTAAATAGTTGAGATTGATCTGGGACTCACTATGTCTGGAATCCTCCTGCCTCAGCCTCCTGAGTGCTGGGATTACAGGCATACGCCACCATTCTGTTATTTGAGACAGGATTTCACTGTGTAGTTCAGGCTACGTAGCCCAGGATGGTGATCCTCCTACCTCAGTCCCCCAAATGCTGGGATTACAGACGTGCACCACCATGCCCGGCTTCTTTCACATCATCTCAGAGTTGAATCAAAATCTGAAGTCATTTTTTGTTAACTTCCTTTAAAAACATAACTTTGTTATAAAACATTTCAGTAATACAGAAGCATATATACTTTAAGTCAAAGCCTCCCTGTCTGCAAATTCCCACTCCCTGGAGATAAACTCTTATCACCATTGTTGTGTCTCTCCCTGGCTCTTGATGCTGCATTCACTGTCACACACATTTAGTGTCTTTTTGGCTGTGTGTGTGTGTGTGTGTGTGTGTGTGTGTGTTTCTGCACAAAGGAATTGCATTGTTCCACTGCTTGGCTTTCTTAGCAGTGAAAGCAGTGGCCCTTCTCCAGGGGGTGGGGCTGTGGCTGTGTGGGAGAGGCAGAAAAGACTGTGGGAACCACAGAGAAGGAGCATGGGGGTGTGGCCCATCTGCAAAGGTCACTGGGCACGGAGGAGGCCCGGGCCCAGCATTGCCCTTCCTCGGCCCGAGGCTCCTCCTGGTGGCCGCCCCTAGGCTTGTGCCTTCTGAGGCAGGGCCACACCACTACCATTTTCTCTGTACCCACTCCAGGGCCTGGCGCACAGTAGTTGCCCAAGAAATACTTGTTCAGTGGATTCAGTCCCTCTGGTACCTTCTTCCCAGCCCCTCCCAAAGACCTCTTGGTCTCCACAACTCTGTTCCTCTGAACTTCTGCTTGGACGGCTCAGCTCATGCTGCAATGATCTCGAACGCAGGTGGAGCCCTCCCTGCCTTGCTGTCACATTGCCCCCTCCCCCAGGAGGGGCTGGACACCCCTCTCCAGGGCTCCTTCCAGCCTGTGGCAACCCTGACCCACTCCCTCATTGCATGCATGAGGGACCAAGTCGGGTTTAATTTTGTCAGCTGCCTCAGATATCTGCTGGGAAAACTGGGGCTTGTGTTTGGCGGTACCGAAAAGACTGTTGCTGTGTGCTGAGTACCAGGTTTGCTGAGAGCTTCTCTTTTTTTGAGACAGGGTCTCACTATGTAGTTGAGACTGACCTGGAACTCACTATGTAGCCCAGGTTGGTCTCGAACTCACAGCGATCCTCCTGCCTCAGCCTCCCAAGTGCTGGGATTACAGGCATGCGCCACCATGCGCGGCTGCTGAGAGCTTTGTGTGAACTGTCTGCGTTCTTGAGGTACTGTACGAGCGAGGAAACTGAGGCCTACAGAAGGGGAGTCACTTGCCCAGGGTCACACACTGTCCAGGGTCAGTGACTAAGCTGGGCTGCAGCTCAGCCCTTCTGGACCCCAAATCAACAAGTCAGTAAAAGAGAGAACCACTCTGGACCAAAACTGTTCCAGAATCTTAAGAGCCACCTCCCTTATCAGTCCGCAGATGCCAAACTTGTGTGTGTAAAGCCTGTGGCAGTGTGGCCACATTTGTGGCCAGGAAAGTAGTTGACTTGCAGAATTGGCTGGCAAGGGCTTGGGTGTAAGAGTTCATGATGGGTTTCGAGGCTTGGACACCTCCCTGCCCTCACCCCAGCCCCTAGCTGGTTTCCTGAGGCTGCGGTGGGCCTGTCTACATTATTCATCCTTCGCCCCTCCACCCCTCACTTGGGGTTGGGCTCCTGGGGTTGGAGTCTAGACAGACAAGAGCATCCTACTGAGAACAGAGGCAGCCCCGACTTCGGGGCTGAAGGTTCCCATGGCAACAGCATCCCCCTCAGCTGGCAGCAACCCGATAAATAATCAAGGGTGGGGGTGGGGAGCCAAGGGCGTGGGAGGGGCAGCCAGGGCTTCACCCTGGAGAGGAGGGGGGCTCTTAGGTTAGAAGGAGCCTGGGGGGAGGGAACTGCGCAGCCACACGAGAGGAAAGATGGGTGTGAGAGATTTGGAGGATGGGGAACAGGAAGGGGACCCGGAGTCTAAAGTTGAGGTTCGGCTCCTGCAGTTGGACACGATGGGGGCCGGAGCCCTGGAAGTGGACCAGGTTTGGATGGGTTGAGTTGCCAGTGAGCCACCTGGTAAGTGGCTGGTCGGAAAGGGGGCTGACGGCTGACGATCCAGCAGGCTGGCAGTCATGAGGGAGGAGGGGCACACTTTTCCAGGACATACGGTGCATCTGTGGCCAGAATCAGGGAAGTAGCTGGAGAGAGAAGGAGTGATTGAAACAGTGCCTGAGTCACCAGTCTAACTGTTATCACCTGCACTGTGCCAGGCGCCGCTCTGACACTAAAAGTACCACAGTGGACAGCACAAGCAGGAGCCCTCACCACCTGGTGTACAGGGCAGGCAGCACTTAGGAGCAGGTGGTACCTTGGCTGACGATTAGTGCCGTGGAAAAAATAGGGCCGGGGGGTGGGAGCGTCGTGGGAGGGGCAGGGAGTTCTGGGGAAGAAGAGGTGTTTTTTATCTTCTTGAGTGTATCGGTACTTGTTAGGTACAGTACCGTTACATTCATCATCGGGATCTTGTACTTTTTTTACATGACAGATCCTGGTTCTCATTTTTTCCCATGCCCCTGCCCTCTCTTCACCCCTTCACCCTCCCCTATTTACAGAGACTGTTTCCATTTCTTCCTTTTCTTGTATTTTTTTCTCGTCCTTTCCTGGGGAGGAAGGGTTTTATTTATTTTTATTTTATTTTTTGGGTACCAGGGATCGAACTCGGGTCCTTGCGCTTGCGAGGCAGGCGGCGGAACCACTGAGCTAAATCCCTGGCCCAAGGAAGAGTTTTAAATCATGCTGGCTCTCCTCAGGACCCTGTGGCTGAATCATACCCACTCTGTTGGCAAAGAAGCTGAGCCTCAGGGCGGTTAGTGACTTGCCTGGAGTTGTGTGACACACGGTGAACCAGTGGTTGCTCCTAACCACTGGGCCATGCTGCCTCTGGGGCAGGAGAAGGCATCTGCGAGCAGGAGCAGTCAGGAAGCTGAGCCCTGGAATGGCCTCTGCTGGCTTGGTGCCATGGAGGTCAAGGTGTCCTCAGAGAGAACTGCTTCAGTGGCTCAACAGAAAGCTGCGCTCTGCTGGGCGTAGGAAGGCAGGTGGTGTGTGGAGACCTTTGAAGCAGTCTTAGATGTGAGAGTTGGGACAGACAGGGCCTAGAGGGGGCGTTAATGGCAGAGGCTTGGATGTGTTCAGGAGCCAGCGGCAAGGGTGCTGGGGAGAAGGGGAGCTTCGTCTGTAAAAGCAAAGGGCCCATAGGTAGGGCAGGCTCCTGAGAAGGCAGGAGCCTGAGAAGGGCAGGTACAGGGACTGGCCTTGGCTGGGAGAAGACAGAAGACAGGGAGCCCTGCGACCAGGCCACCACTGAGAGAGAGTGCACAGGGGTCCCCGGAGGACCAAGGACCAGGAGAAGATCATAAACTGTCCCGGGAGACTCCCAGTGCGGTTGTGGGTGATACCAGGAGCCACCTTGAAGTCATGAGCGTGGTCTGCTGTGGACCCTGGTTGACTAGAACGCTGGGCTGGAGGGCAGACACTGGGCGAGCTGACCACAGATCTGGCCAGCTGTGGGCTTCTGACAGGTGTCAGGGAAGGGGGAGATTTCTGGGCTGTCCCTGCCGCACAAAACTGGACCTTTCATCCTGAAGGGTGTTGGGAAGTCACCTGTGGGGTCTGGAGGGGGTTTTCAGGTTGGTGACTTGGGAGGCACTATCTCGGGGGTGCTGGGGATGAAGAGAAATAGAGAAGGTCGTGGGAAGGCATCGAGAGACTGGAAGGTGCTGAAGGGGATGTCTTTAAAAGGGTATGAGATGCGCTGGCACACACCTGTGATCCCGAGCTCTGCAGGAGGATCACATGTTTAAGTCTAGCTGGGCAACTCGGTGACTTAGCAAGACCCTGTCTCAAAATAAAAATGTTAAAAAAGGCTGGGGCTGGGGCTCAGTGCGAAAGTCCTAGGTTGACCACACTCACACCCGAAAGCACCGAGCCTGAGGCCGGTGGTGGCCAGCCACCCTCTGCCCAGAGGTCTGCCCTCTGCCCACATGAGTTGCCTCCTCAGACTTCCCTTCTGGCCCACTTAGGAGAGATTCCAGAAGCCCGCTTGATCTGGCTTGCACCTTGAGCAGGTAAAAATATCTCCGAAGCTGTTTTTGTCCTTCAGTGCACATGAATTGGAAATCTTTGTAAAAGACCAGGTTGCTGTTGCTTCCACACAGTTCCTCTCATCAAAGTAATGGAGACACAGGAGGCTGCTTATGATTTATAGTCACTGCGGCCTCAGAAGATTGCTTCTAAGACAGCGCACCCAGATGGGGAAGAGAGTCCTCCCGCTTCCTTCTTATCAGTGTTTGTTAATTAGCTGCATATCGCTGCTGCACATTCAGGAGTTCTGGAATGTTTGACTTGGTGTTTAAAAGAAAATCGTAACTTTAAGGGCTGGGAGTGTAACTCGATGGTAAAGTGTTAGCCTAGCGTCACAAGGCCCTGGGTTCAGTCCCCATCACTGTCGGTAATAACATCTTTGGAATTGATATTATTTAAAAGACATTGAATCTTTTTTAAAAGGTGTCTTTGGGCTGGGAAGGTTACTCTGCAGCACGGTGCCTACCTGGTGAGCACGAGGCCCAGAGTTTGATTTCCGGTACCCAAAAAAAAAAGGTATCTTTAAGTCAGGCATTGTTGTATACGCCTGTAATTCCAACACTCTGAGAAGCTGAGGATCACAAAGAATCTAGCCTGGGCAACTTAGTGACTTAATGAGGCCCAGTTTTGAAATTTTAAAGAGGAGGGCATGTGGCTCAGGCGAAGGCCCTGGGTTCAATCCCCAGTACCACCAGAAAAAAAAAAGTACCTTTAAATTTATCTCAATGAGGCCTGGGACTGGGGGGGATATAGCTCCAAGGCACCGCTCCTGCCTGGCAAATGTAAGGTCCTAAGTTCAATTCCCAGTACAGGGGGGGGGAAGGCTTGGATTATGATGCTGACTACACTGGTTTGAAATGTTTCATTTCCTGTCTACCACTTCTGCCAGACTGAGTTCCCAGGTAGCAAGGACATAACTTCCTCTCTCGGGGACTGGAGGGGCCTGGGTGGAGACGGGCGTGTCAGGTGCGGATGGATGGAGGAGTGGCTGTCGGAGGTGAGGGTGGAGGAGGCTGGGGCAGGGCTTCGAGGGGCAGAGCAGCAGGGGCTCAGTGTTCAGCGGGCTCAGTCCGGGGGTCTTCCTGCCCAAAGGAGGAAACTGAGCTGTGCTCTGAGCTCTGAAGTCTAGGGAGGCCGTGGGTAGAGGAAAAGGAAGTGAACTTGGTGACTGTTGTTTCAGCCCCACTCAGCAGGGGCTGACAGGGAATAAGCAATGTACCAGACCCTGGTGGGACTTCAGGGGCTGAGCAGCTTAGACTGGTCTGTCTTCTATTAATTAGCCACCATTTATCACATTTACTTGTCTGCTAGTTTATGTGGTCTTCATAGCCTCACTACAACTTGGCAGCAGAGGGAGTATCTTGTATTTAGGGTTGAAGAAATAGGTTCAGAGAAGGAAAGCAACTTGCTCTAGGTCACACAGCAGGGCTGTAATTTGAATCTGAGTTTGAATAACTCCAAAGCTGTGCTTTTTTGCCTTTTTTTTTTTTTTTTTTAATAGCAGGGGTTTTGAGTAGGGGCCAGGTGGGGTGGGGTATATTATCCCTCTGCTGGACATATTTGGGCAAAACATCTCTGCAACTATATCTTGAGTATCACTCAGTTTCCTCCCTCATCCTCTGATGGGGACTTTCTTCCCTAGGACCAGTGGAGTTGAAAACATCAAGCTGGGCCCCAAGCCACTGGCACTGCTCAGTAGGGGAAAGGAAGTTGTAGAAGAGTTTGGGGTAAGGAGCGGCAGCGAGAGACCATGGTAACGGCCCTGGATAGACCTGGGGAGTTTCTCCCTCCAGGTCAGCAGACCAGGCAAGGCTGGATTATCTAGTCACATGACTTCTGTGTCCGGGAGAAGAGCTCAAGTCCCAGCAGGCAGGGCAACCTGCCCAAAATCACTCAGCAGTCAGGGGCAGACTCTGCCAGAACCTCTACTTCTTCGCTTCCAAACCAGTGCCACTGGGAAAGGTATTTTGGTGCCCAGGTGAAACAGGTGGCAGAGAAAGGCCTAATCTGTCACCTGCTGTGTGACCTTGGGCAGTTCGCTTTCCCTCTCTGAGTTTCATGTTCTCTTTCCTTCAAAATGAGATCATGATCCCATCCTAGCTTTTCTGCCAAGGAATATCCAGTGATGAACTTGGAAAGCTCTTAACCATCTGCAGTCCTGGGAGGGAAGCCATCAACAAGAGGCAGGGTGGCATGAGGTGGGGGCGGTGCCAGGGCTGGGTCTGGCACCACCAGGCCTCCTTCATTCTCTCTTCCAAGCCTGCAGCTTCATTGGTCTCCACCCAAGCTTCACCATCTGTGTGGTAGCATCAGTTCTATCTCTTGTCTCCCTGCCAGGAAAGGGCTTCTGGGATCTCCTCGCTTGATCAGAATCCACGCCCCAACCTCCAGACCCTCTTCCCTCTATTTGAGTCAGGACTGTTGGTTACCAGGGACAGAAATGAGCTTCATAGTTTTGTTTGTTTTTGGTTTTTTTGAGACAGGGTCTCACTATGTAGTTGAGACTGACCTGGAACTCACTATGTAGCCCAGGCTGGTCTCGAACTCACAGCGATCCTCCTGTCTCAGCCTCCCGACTGCTGGGATTACAGGTGTGTGCCACCATGCCCAGCTTAGGGACAGAAATGAGAAGTACAAGGAGGAGATGGCATTAGGCATACTAGAGCCTTGTCTATACCCATACCCAAACCCTTGTCACCAGAACACTCCCCTTGCTTGTCCCCTTCTCAGCCCCTCAGCTGTGGCTTCTAGGGCTGGCCATCCTCCCGGGGTGACAAAGGTGGCCACAGACAGACAGCTCCAGGCTGACACCACTTCCATTCAGGTATCCTGGCATGCAGGGAGTAGCCGTGCCCCAATTGTCCCCACAGATACCCAGAATGGTACTCGAGTGGGGAGGGGCAGGGGCAGGATGAGTGTCAAGCCTAAATCTATTACTGGGTCTTGGCTGGGTCTGAGTTACCTGCCCACCCCAGAACCTAGAAATGAGGGCACTCCTGCACAGACCCCATGGACAGTGGTAGAAGGCGGTTCTGAAAACAGATGAAGTCTGTCACCTGAAAAAGGAACGTTGGACAGCCAAACAAAACACTTATCCTTGGCACTCTTGTTCCTAAGGATATTAGTTAAAAAATTGAACCAGGGCCTCCTGGGGAGTGTTGATTGTGTCCTGTATGTATCAGGTAGCTTTTGCTGCGTAACAAATCACTCCGAGACATCGCGGTTTTAAACAGCCATTTTATTTTGTGTAGCTCAAGATTCTGTGGATGAGTGGGGCACTTGCTCTGGGGCTGGGCTGTGTTTGGTCACCTAGAGCATGAGCAGTCTGGAGCATGGTCTCACATGTTTGGTGGTTGGCTGTCGGCAGGGTGCCTCTGTTCTCGCGCATGTGTTTCTGGCCCACCAACAGTTCAGCTCAGGCCCCTGCACATGGTGCTATCTGTTACATGTGAACCAAGTGGGCAAGGTCCAGTGCACGTGCATTTTCCCAGCCTTCCCTTGCATCATTTGCTAAAATTCCATTGGGCAAAGCAGGTCACATGACCCAGCACAGCCTTACCAATGTGCCAGAGAGCACGGGACTAGGAAGAGAAAGAATGTAGGGCCTATTCTGCAGTCTACTGGAACTCAATCAGGGAAAGAAGTGGGAGCAAAAATCCCTTCTCTGTGGCCCAAGGATCCCTCAGGGGCCAGGACAACCGCTGGTGAAGAGTACTCGGAAGGAGTGACTCAAGCACAGGGATGTCCCTGGGCCCTGCAAGCCTATGGCTTCCTCTCTCTCACCTTCTGGGACAGCCAGTCTGAGTCCTGGCCCCACATGGAGAAGGGGCAGAAGCTCCAGTGGCCAGTGGGCCTCCTGGGCAGGGAGCGGGTGTTCTGAACACTGACTCCTGTCTCCCTACAGCCCAGCCCAAAATGATGTTCAGGCTTAGGGACCCCTACTCTACTCCCACAGACTTGCCCCTGAAGAAGCTCCCAACTCCCAGCATCCTTTTGGTGTGAGGAGCTGGGTGATTCTGAGATGTGTGCCCATCACCATGGTAACTGATGTCACCTGCTTCTCAAGGTCAAGGAGGAGTCCCTGTCCTCTCTGTAGGGGTGACAGTGGCCTCAGCCTGTCTTTTCCACAGGTGGCTGCACTGCAGCGGCAGATCTTTGACTTCCTGGGCTACCAGTGGGCTCCCATCCTGGCCAACTTCCTGCATATCATGGCGGTCATCCTGGGCATCTTTGGCACCGTGCAGTACCGCTCCCGGTATCTCATCCTGGTACGGTTCCCTAGCTCCTTCCCAAACCAGGCTCCTCTTCTCACCCCTGCCCAACCCACTCTCCCTACTCCTCTAGCCAGAACTGTCCCCCAACCCTGGGCAACCAGCCCAGCTAGGGGATGAATGCCCAAATCTCAGTGTTGCTTCGCTCGGAGGAGACCATTTTTCTTCAGAGATTTTCCAGAGAAATAATCCAAACATAAGCAAGACAGACCACTTAGCAGAAACCTTGCCTGCACCAGGCACACTGCTGTTTCACACGCTTTATGTCATCTTTACCACAGTCCTGTGAGGTCTGTACTACCATCTCCATTTTCCAGATGAGGAAGCGGAGACTCAGAAAGGTTACGAGCCTTCCTAAAGCCACACAGCTAGTAAAGGCAGGACCGGGATTAGAGCTGCAGATCTGCAGTGAAGCCTCCTGCCCCGTCACCAAGCTGGCTCAGCAAACCAGGGGGCACAGACCAAGGAGGGGCGGGCCTCATCTTGCCCAGTTTCTCAGGATAGTAAGAAACTTCGGGAGACTTGGCTTTTGTCCCTGCTTAGTGATATGCATCAAGGACATGGTTTGGAGCAGGTGCAGGGCTTGGATTTTGTCCCCTCTCCCACTTCTTTTCAAGTTGTGGTCCTTCACAATCTCTCAAACTCCTGTTTTCAGCTAGACTCACCTTGTGGTCTCTGCTGATTTTCATGGGCCTCAGCACAGGGATTCTGGGGGCTTTCCACTAAATCTGCTGGGTGCATGCCTCACAGTTATGATGACAATGGCAGGCAATGCCATGCTAGCAAAAGCCCACTTACAGGAGTGCTCTAGGGCTTCACCTCCCAGGAGCCAGGTGGCAGGGTCCTGTGGAGCTCTGCACCCCCTGACATGGGCTACTTCTGGCCAGTTCTCAGGACAGCCCCTGGTGGCACTGTCAACTGTGCTGTTCGCCAGGTGGCAGCCACGCAGGTGTGGACACAGGCCTTGAGTGGGACATCCAGCTCCCAAGCCTCCTCTGCCCTGCCCTCTCTAGCTTCCGGCTGTGGCCACATCTGGGAAAGGGACTACTTGGGAGCTGAGAGGTCCCAGTGCTTCCCTAACACCTCTGGCCTCTCTGGCCAAGTGTAAGGGTGAATGGGGCTGCATGCACTGACCAGGGCCACTTGGGGGCAGTTACAGAACAAGGAGGGAAGATATTTGCAAAATGAGTAGATTGTGTGGGGGGGGTCCCTTTACATCTTGGGGATTCAGCTTGGTCTGCTCGCCTCGGCCTGTCTGCAGGCCCCACCCCCTGTCCTGCCCCCACCTTCCCCGAGCCTCTGCGTCCAGCCCCAAGCACGTGTGAGAGGATGTCACCCTCATTCTCATCGGGCTTCAGGAGGGTTTCCTGTTGCTTTTGGTCCAAAGTTCTCAGCGTCTTTAAACCACTGCTGACTCTACCCTCTCACAGAGGACCACAGCCACTTATAACAGTTCAGGGTTCATGGGGCTGAGTATGTAATTCAGCGGTAGAGGACTTGCTTAGCATGTTTGAGGCCCTGGGCTCCAACCTCAGCAATGGGGGCAAAAAAAATAAAAACTTCCTCCTAGGAAATAAAGTGTATCCGCATTCTTTCCCCCTACTCTAGTAAATACCAGCCCTCAGCCTCAGGCCTTCTGACCACCCACCTCCACTTACCAGCTGTGGTCTAACAGGAATACTTTCCACACCACTTCCTGTGGTCCAGTTGTCACCCACTGCTGCATATCTGCTCTGTGCCAGACACTCGTGTTGTGTGGTGAATGAGGCAGAAGAGGCCTTGGCTTCTAGTGGTTTGCCATCTGGAGTTATGTTCTAGTGAGTCATCCAAGTCCTGAACGACATTCCTAGAAACTCAGAACCAGTAAATCTAGAAGCAGGACTATATATTTCTTTTCTTTAAATTAAGAGACGAGGTCTCACTGGAGGCTGAGGCAGGAGAATCACTGTGAGCTAGAGGCCAACCTGGGTTACAGTGAGTTCAAGGCCAGCCTGAACTGTGTAGTGAGGTCCTGTCTCAAAAAAGAAAAAGAAAAAAAAAGAGATGAGGTCTCACTGTTTCCCAGGCTGGCTCTGAACTCCTGGGCTCAAGTAATCCCCCTACCTCAGCCTCCGCAGCTAGCTTCCCACAGGTAAGCACCACTGCCCCTAGCTGAAATCTGCATTCTTCCCAAGTTCCACGAGTGATTTTAGTACATTGTCCACACCTCTAGCCTAGTGGAAGTTTTTAGCAGAGCGGATAGGACTTGGATTGACGTGTCAGCATCTCCTGATTGCTTGCTGTGTGATTTTGGAAAGCCTGGACCTCTCATCCTTAGCTAAGTGGTTTCTAGGAGGACAAAGCCCACCTTGCAGGGCTGTGGTACGGACTGGATGGATGTGAAGATGACTTGGAAATGACAGTGTGCTCTCTGGGGTGTTACCATGCTTTTCCCTGCAAAGGTCTCCTCCTCCCTTGACCTCCATCTCCATTGACTTGCCCCCCTCCCCCCTCCCCAGGCCCCACCCTGAACCCACCTCTGCTTTCCCCAGTATGCAGCATGGCTGGTGCTCTGGGTTGGCTGGAATGCATTTATCATCTGCTTCTACCTGGAGGTTGGACAGCTGTCCCAGGTAAGCCTCAGGCCTGACAGTGCCCTAAGGCAGAGCCTGACTTTTCCCATCCCTATCCCAGGGCCCTTGGTGTGGTGTAGGCCAGGGTTATCATCCCTAGGCACCTCCTGGCCTCTGTATACTCAAGTAATCTGTGGGACATCCGCCTGCCCATTTTTATTTCTGCCTCCTCTGCTCTTCTAAGAAACTGATGGAACAGGTGTGGCTAAAGAGCAGTCAAAGGAGAGATGGGTCAGGGATCCCACCCAGTTGATCAGAATCTCAGGAAAAACCAACAGCATGGGTTGGCCAAGAAAGCTATTCTTAGGCCCTGTGAATAGCAGTAGAATGTTCAGAGCAAGAGGAGTGAAAATGCGAGGCACTTTGTGCAGCTTAGACCCAAGGAGGATTTGGGTCAGTTCTGATCGATGGCTTTCAGAAGTGAAAGGACCAGTTAGTGTTTGTTCAGGGAACAATGAATGAGCAGACTTTGTCACATAGAGAACTTTCAAAGCACGATTGTTTAGCTTGATGACCAAGCCCAGAAAGACACTGCTTCTGTTTTTGGATAAAGGAGGCAAAATATGTGAATAAGAGCTTTGGCTTTCTGGTTGAACCTTACTACATTCAAAACCCTGCTCTGATATTTCCCAGCAGTGTGGCCCCAGGCAATGGCTTGTCCTCCCCGGGCTTCCGTTCCTCCTGCTTCAGGAAGTGGAGAAACAGTAACCTCAGCTTCATTTGGTTGCTGTGGGGGCATAGCGAGAGCTCAGACCTGAGTGGCCAGCACAGTCTCACTCTGACTGCAGGTGGATGAGCTCACGCTGCACACCCAGGCAGAAACTTCCGCTGTAGGCCAGCCTTTTCCCCATGTAACATGGGGAGACCAAGGACCCAAGAGAGGAGAGATGTGCCCAGCAACACACAGGGAAAGCAGTGGAGAGACCGAGTGGACTGTGAAGGGGCCTGTACTGAGCCTTTCACCAGCCACTGGAGAGTTGCCCCACACACACACAGTGTTAATGTCCCCTGTATCCCTGAAATTCTAAGTCTCAAACTTTAAGGTAAGCACCAACCCTTTCCAGCTGAGCGATGAAGCGCGAGGCCTGCATGATCGTCAATTGCCACCTGCTGGCCAAACATGGACTTGCAAGTGCAATCCTCATTCTTTTCCCAAATCCACCCAGAGAGGAGGCTGCTTGAGTAGATCCAAGTGAGCGGTGTAACTCCTCTGCCCCAGCTCAGTATCCCAGGCCCCTCTGCCCCCAGGACCGGGACTTCATCATGACCTTCAATACGTCGCTGCACCGCTCCTGGTGGATGGAGAACGGACCGGGCTGCCTGGTGACGCCCGTTCTGAACTCCCGCCTGGCCCTGGAGGACCACCATGTCATCTCTGTCACCGGCTGCCTGCTGGACTATCCCTACATCGAAGCCCTCAGCAGTGCCCTGCAGATCTTCCTGGCAGTGAGTCTCTCGCCCCACACAGACTCTCAGAGGGGTGGGCTCCATCCCAATCCCTTTCTTTATCCATAGGAGACACACCTAGGTCTCCCGTCTGCCAGTGCTTCTGCCTGGACCTGCTTCCAAGCCTTGTACCACCTCTGCTCACCCCTGCCTAACCCCTGTGCTAAGCGTGGGCAGGTTTAATGAATGTGATGAGGCATCAGGTCGAGTCCATCCACCCACCATTGTGTACCTTTTCCAAGCTTGTGTCCTCATTCACAAAAAGAACCTAGTAGCGTTGTGAGAAGAGGAAAAGTGTTCCAAGATGGTAGGAGCCCCATTTCCAGGAGGCCAGCGTAGTTCCGGGCACTTTATACAAACACACAGACACATAATCCTCTTAACAAGCCGTGGCTCGAAGAGGCAATTACTTGTCAGAAGTCACACTCCAAGAATGAAGAATAGGACCGAGTATGCTTGACTTTTTTTGTGTGTATGTGTACCGGGGGTCAAACTCAGGTCCTTGTGCTTGCAAGGCAGGCAGCAGCACCACCGAGCTAAATCCCCGGCCCAATGTTTAACTTTTAAATTGTAGGCATTTGACCTGAAGTTAAGGGTTTGTTTGCTACAGTCCAGGCCTGACACACCCCTCCCAAGTTGTGGGGGTCCTGGAGGGGTGTGCGCTCTCTCCCCTGACTTGTCGTCCCCTCCCACAGCTGTTCGGCTTTGTGTTCGCCTGCTACGTGAGCAAAGTGTTCCTGGAGGAGGAGGACAGCTGTGAGTAAGGCGCCCACTGCTACGCGGGAAGCCTGGCCGGGCTTTTCAGCACCCTGGACAGGGCCAGGGGGAGGCCTTGGCTGGGGGAAGCCCTGGGTCGGCCCGGGCCCCTCGCGTAGAGATGGTGACCGTGGGTGGAGTCTGCGTAGCCAGACCACCGTGGGCTAGGGCCTAGACGTCCAGGTGCCCAGCCTACGCCCCACCATTGCCTTTTTCCAGTCTGGCCCGCACTCCATGGGGGGTCTTGTCCCGCCCCCAGGGTCCCTCTTACCTGTAGTCTCGCCTCCCTCCCAGGCTCTACAGTCTGGGGACTTCAGCCCCTGCTGGCCGGGCCCCTGGCCTCCCAGCCCTCACAGGCCCATCGCCGCTCCCGGGTGATTCGGGGTCCTGCTGTCGATTCTTCCCTTTCAAGACCCAGCCTCTTAACTCTCCCCCTGCCCTTCCGCAGTTGATTTCATTGGTGGCTTTGACTCCTACGGATACCAGGCGCCGCAGAAGACGTCGCATTTACAGCTGCAGCCTCTGTACACGTGGGTCCTGGCGCAGGGCTGGGTGCACGCGGAGGGAACGGGAGCTGAGTGGAGTGGGGGAGTGGGGAGGGCGGCCGGGTCTCCGCCCGCGTCTGCTCTGCCCGCTTGCCCACCCCCTCACCCGCCTTTGTTTCCGGCAGGTCTGGGTAGCTTCCGACCGGCCCTCGGCGGCAGGACTGACCGTGACTGCCGGGAGCTCCGGCCAAGGTGGGCAAGCGCGCCCCCTGGCGTCTTGTGGACCGACTGCAGCCTGCGCGGTCTCAGCCGCTGGGCCGTGGAAGGAGCAGAGTGGACTTGGCCCTGCACAACCCGGACTTCCGGGGCGGGCTCGGGGAGGGCGTCGCGGGGTTTGTAACTTTTTTAATCTCAGCCTTGGCATGTGCCAGGGTCTTCTTCCCTTCTCCAGTCTACCCCTTTTACCCTTCACCCAGCGTCTTGCCCTTGTCCAGAGAAAAACAGCAGAGCAGCCTCGCCCCATCTCTTCATTCACCAGCCTCGGTGAAAGCGACTGTGAACTAGGAGCAGGAGTCCTGGGTTCCAAGCGCAGCTCTGTCACTGACACCCGGTGTGATATGTGGCAAAGCCCTTGCCCTCTCTGGGCCTCCGTTTCCCTACTCCAAGTAATTAAAGTGATCCTTTAGCAGACGGACTCTTCCAGGCTTCTCCTTTGACTCATTGCCCTGGGCTAGGCTGGGATTATAACCCCCATTTTCAGGTGTGCAAACTAAGGCCCAGAGATGTGAAGTGACTTTCTTGAAGCCACGCAGCTAAACTTGTGGTGGAGACAGGCCTTGGACACGGTGTGCTTTCTGTCCTTTCAGACTCCAGTGCCGAGTGCCTGCCTCTGGGTCCCACTGGCAGCGGGGCACTGCGCCACACACACCACCGCCACATGCCAGCACCTCTCAAAGCAATAGACCCATTAGTTCTCGTGTTGGGAACTGGATGGACAGAGCCCAAAGCCCCGAATTCAGTCTAACACCCAGCAAAGCCTTCGTAGACTTAGCCTCCGTCCACCCTGGGCAAATCTTCAAAGCCCCCTCCTCTAGGGAAATCGGGCTACAAGTCCCTCTATGCCCTTCCAGGTCCCTGAGACCAGGTCTCCCACACCCATCCTCCCATACCCTCCTCTCCCAGCAACCCTGATGACTCCATGTTCATCACCACTGTGGCTTCAGAAGGAAAATAGACTGGTCTGTGCCACCTGGACACCAGTGTTTGCAGAGCACCAGTATTTATGACTACTCCAATGTCTGGAAGCAACCCCTCAAAAGCCCAGAAGGGCTAGATGTGGTGGAACATACCTATAATTCTAGCACTTGGAGGCTGAGGAAGGGACATCACCGTAAGTTCAAGGCCAGCCTGAGCTACATAGTGAGACCCTGTCTCAAAAAGACCAGAAGGATTCTGAAGAGGCAGAATGGGGCATGGACAATAGGGGTGTGTCAGAAGGACCAGCACCCCAACCTTCCTGAGGGCAAACGCGTGATAGCACTTCTTTCCCACCTCCCTGCAAGGCACCCCTGCGGGTCCTATAACCTAGGCTCCTGTAACCTAGCGCTGGCTGATTTGTCCACAGAGGAGAGGATCAGGGTTTGGCATCCAGGTCTGTGCAATGGGAACAGCCCTGGGTTGTGAAGGAAGACAAGAGGTACAGGGAAGATGGAGGGAAACCCAGATATGAGATGGTCTGCACCCCCGAGCCTGTCTGTGCTGACCATGGCCCTGCGCATTCCACCTTCTGGTCTCGAGCTAGAATGGCAGCCCCACCCGACCACCCCATCTGTAGTGCAGTATGACTGGCTCCCGTGGGCACCAAGCTCCCAAAGTGGCCCAACCAGCGCTGAGTACAGCTCAAGAGCGGGTCAGTTTTCATCGGGCTGGGGTACAGCCCTGCCACTGGGCCAGCTCCTGCCTGCAGCCCCCACCCCTCCCATCCTCTTTCTCCAGGCCTCTTCCTACTCAACGGGTTTAACCCCTGGTGCTCTGGAGCCGTTTGTTTTTATAAGCAAGTGCAAGTGAGTTGATTAAAGATGGTGTTTTCTTTTCTGTCTTCCCGTCCTGCCCTCTCCTAAGGGAAAAGTGCCCTGCCCCAGAGTGGGCAGGGCTGGGAGGCCATATCTTTATTATTGTATTTTCCTGGACATTGGTCCAGTGACTCTTGGCAAGACACTCTTTATCTAAAAAACAAAAACACGAAGGTCAGCTAAGTCAGTGGGTTCCCAAAGCTGGCCTCACAAGCCCTTGGAGAGCTTTGTTTCTTTTTCTGACTAAGTGCATGTTGGGTTAATGCTCCCAATTCTCCTTTGCATCTTGGCTGTGTCCTCTGCCCTTGACATCCTGGAACCTTTTCTCACGCCACAGCCCAAGAATCAGTATTTTTAATTTTTAAATTGTGTTAATAAGCATGTAACACAGAATGCAGACAGTTGGGGGGTATATACTCCTTTATTCATATCTTTTTAAGATACTCACTTTTAAGAATTACACAAATAATATTTTTCTATTTTCATGCATATGGAAAAATATTTTACTTACTGTTCAGTCCACTGGCTCTTCCACTTGACTCAGCCTTGGGGATCCAGTCCCCATCAGGGATCCATGGGGAGCTGCACCTGACTTGTACCTCCTTGCTCACAGAAGGATGTCCAGCTCTGCTGTGTGGGCCTGTAGGCCCCGCCCCACCATCCATGCAGAGAGAAGTAAGTTGGACCCTGCCTTCACGGAGCTCCCGGTTGAATGTCAGTGCTCTGGCCAGGCCGAGATAATCCAGGATAACCTTACCACCTCAGAGCCCTTACTTTAATCAACAGTGCAAAAACCCTTCCGTTCTGTGACACATTCACAGGTTCCAGGGACTGGGAGGTGGACATACTTGGGGGATGTTACTCTGCCTTCCCTAGGAAGAGAGTTGTTCAAACCCAGGTGGGCCAGCCTGATGTCAGGAATGGGAAGCTACTGAAGGGTTTTGCTCATGAACTACTGGATTAGAGATCTACTTTACAGAGAACCAGCACAGCTGAAAGGTGGCTTGGGGAAGGTGGGACACGGTATGTTGTCTGCAGGAATTTCTTCTGCATGCAGCCTGTGTTCTGGGGGTGGTGTGTGATGCACTCCATGCATCTGAACGTGGGAGAGCAGCACAGCAACGACCAGCTGTATCCCAGGCGAGGCGCTCTGGAACCAGTCTAGCTGGTCTGCCCAGGAAGTGAACTGCTGCCCTCCCAGCCTGCCATTCTTTGCCAGGCCATCTCCCAGCAGCTGCTCCACACAAGCGTCATCCAGGTAGCCAGGATGGTGGTGCACACCTGCAACCCCAAGCCCTTGGGAGGACAGGAGGATCACTGTGAGTTTGAGGCCAGCCTGGACTACACAGTGAGACCCTGTCTCGATAAATAAATAAACCACAGGATAAAGCCAGGCACAGCGATGCACATTCATAATCCCAGCTACTCAGGAGGATCACAAGTTCAAGCCCAGCTTGGGCAATTTAGTGACTTAGCGAGACTCTGTCTGAAAAATTTAAAAAGAGGGGCCAGGGATTTAGCTCAGTGGCACTGCACCTGCCTCGAAAGTACAAGGTCCTGAGTTTGATTCCCAGTACCAGGAAAAAAATTTTTTTAAAGGCTGGAGATATAGTTTAAGGCAAAGGCATTAAAGATACATTTGTATTGGGGCTGGGGATTTAGCTCAGCGGTTCGGTGGCCTGCCTTGCAAGCGCAAGGACCCAAGTTTGATCCCCAGTACCAAAAAAAAAGATACACTTGTATTGGCTGGGGATTTAGCTCAGTGGTGCTCCACCTGCCTCACAAGTGCAAGGTCCCGAGTTTGATCCCTGGTACAAAAAACAACAAAACAAAACATTACTATAAATCTCCCTCAAAATACAACTCCCTTATGTCGAATACACCTAACCCATCATTCTCACTAATTTCTGAAGAAGTTCAGGAAGTCCTCCTGTGAATTTGCTTTTGATTAAAATATCCAACAAATGGTGTTGCCAGGTGCCATCCAGTGGGAAAGCAGCCTCATAAAAACATTATGGCGCATCCTCGCCCATCTTATTCATCAGATCTGACAGCTTGCAACTTCTGGTTCTGCCACAAAGTCAGAATGACCAGAGGGCCAGGGATTTAGCTCACCACCTGCCTCACAAGCACAAGGTCCTGAGTTTGATCCCCGGTACCAAAAACAAAACAAAACGTAAGTGACAATGACCGGGAAAGGTAAATGTTTTGAATGGATTCAGGACATCCAGGCAGCCATGACAGCACAACTGAGGGCACGAAAGAGCACTTCCAAAACTACTATTGAGAAATTCAAAACTACAAGAACGACAGGAGACGTGTGGAGTGTGAGGGAGTGTTCAGAGCGTGACTGACGGCAATGTGTCTTTTACTATCATAGTTTTTCTCAGTTTAAATATTCAGTGTATTTCATCACACCTCACAGAGAGAGCTATTATCTCACATATCTAGACAGACATAGGTTTTTTTGTTTTGTTTTGCTTTGTTTTTGGTGGTAGTGCTGAGGATAGAGCACTGGGCCTCACGCATTCGAGGCAAGTGCTGTACTGCTGAGCTACATCCCAACCCAAAGCAATTATAAGGAAGCTCGATTTCATTTCTTACTGACACTCTTTCAGTGGATTAGCTATTTCCATGGCTTAACCAAAACTTAAATGAAAGGGCTGCCTTCACTTCAGCGTGGGTTTGGCAGCCCTGGGAGCCCTGCTCTCCTCCTCCAGCCTCAGCCCCAGGCACCTGAGGCAGTGAGGGCCACTCAGCTCGAGTAGTTCCTTAGCTCAGCTCTCACCTGGACACTGGCGGCCTCCTTGGGCTGGGATCCCAGTGACTCAGCGGTTCCCATGTCACTGTGCCCTGGAGCCAGACAGCGCAGGCCAAGGCAGGTCACAGCTGCACAGCCCTGGCAGGTGTCCATGCCCAGGTCCTCCCTCCCCCTCGGAGACCGGGGCCACTCCTCCCTGCATCAGCTGTGTCACGGGGAAAATGAGAAGCTGAACTCCACGTCACAGGTACAAGCTTCTTTGCTGCTGACCCCATGAGCCGGAGCCTCGTGGCCCACACTGTACTTGGGTGTCCTTCTCAAGTACAGGGTCCCAGCTCCACCTGCCTACAGGTGCCGAGTCACTGGGGTCATACATTGGAATTCACACACCAGGTATTTATTAAGCACCTGTTGCCTGCCAGGAATTGGAGATACAAAAAGAAAATGGACAATGGAGAGTAATCCCGGTTTTTCCAGGGATTTAGCTGGGGGGCCACACCTACCTCGCAAGCAAGGTCCAGAGTTCCATCCCTGGTACCAAAACAAAAACAAACAAACAAACAAAAAAACAAGAAGTGATGATCCCTGTTCTTGTGGAGGATGGTTTAGGGGAGGTACAAAGTAAATAGGTAAGAGCCAGGCGTGGTGATACATGCCTGTAATCCCGGCACTTGGGAGGCTGAGGCAGGATGATCGCTGTGAGTTTGAGACCAGCCTGGGCTGTAGTGTGTTCTGGGTCAGTCTCAACTACATAGTGAGACCCTGTCTCAAAAAACCAAAACAAACACCCAAAAAAGGCAAAATAAAATAAAATAAAACGGTCATCAGGTCAGATAAGAAAGAGCTTACCAAGAAGTTTTCTTTTTGCTATGCTTGGGATTGAACCTGTGCCTTAGGCTTAGTTCAATTGCCCAGGCTGGCCTCAAACTCACAATCCCTCTGTCTCTGCCTCCCCAGTGCTGAGATTATAGGCATGTGCCGCCATACCCAGCCTTTTGCTTGCTTTCTACCTAACCTTCTTCAGGTCTTTTATCAAAAATATTTCTCAGGTTGGGTGTCATGGTGCATACCTATAATCTCAGGATTTGAATTTGAGACTCTGCTGGGCTCTACAGGAAGACTCAGCCTCCCTGGTTCCCCACCTCACTCCCCAAAAAACTAAGAAACAGGTGCTTAGAAGAACCAGCCCCAGCCTCGTCTCTAACTCGATGTGTCCTTCAGCCCTCCCTGTGACCTGGATTCAGAGCCCAAACCCTGGGACAGGCCTCCTGTGTGTCCGGAGAAGCCTGCTGCACAGGGCCTCCCATCCGCAGCTCCCCATTCTTCCAGTACTGGGAATCAAACTTGG